CCACAACTCCAGCCCCCTGCACAATTTTTAAATGGAAGAAATGTAGAAATTATTTTCACCTATAGCGATTCTGATTTACTTCTGACTAATACTGTCTTCATATAATGGACATGTGCATGTACACGTCAAATGAATGAAACCATAGTTTGTGATTTTTTTTCTTTAAAGTAAACTTATTATCATAGGATCATAAAGGAGGAAAGGATACAAAATTATCGGTGGAAGCTGACTTTATTTTTTGGTGCCGGGAACCTCAGCCCTTTTTATATTTTGTTTTGAGACAGGGTCTGAGTTGCTTAGGGCCTCACTAAGTTGCTGAAGCTGGCTTTGAACTCACGATCCTGCTGCCTTAGCCTTACCAGCTGCTGGGATTATAGGTGTGCACCACTGTGCCTGGCGATTTTTCACCTTTGAAACTATCTCCAGCAATGGGGGCGTTTCAGACTGCTCTCAGGAATCCTTATTCATGTAAGTTTTCATAGGTGTTTTTGTTATTTATTTATTTTTTTGTAGCACTAGGGGTTGAGCCCAGGGTCCAGTGTGTGCTTGGCAAATGATTCACATCCCAAGCTCCAGTCTGTATAATTACAATAAACCTCATACATAAATTCTTTCATCTTGAAAACTCAGTCCTGTTGATTAGATTTGTTCATCCCTTTCTTCTCGTGTGAATATGGGGCCCTGATTGATGCAATAATTTGAACAGCATTTAGAAGACTTTAAATTTTCAACTTGAATAATGGTAGTTTTATATTTTATGCTAGATCCTTTTTCTGATTTTTTTTTAAAGAGAGAAAGAGAGTTTTTAATATTTATTTTGTTTTAGTTTTCGGTGGACACAACATCTTTATTTTTTTTTTTCTATGTGGTGCTGAAGATCGAACCCAGCGCCCCGCGCAAGCCAGGTGAGCGTACTACTGCTTGAGCCACATCCCCATCCCCTCTCTGATTTTTTACTATCATCTCATAGAGTATAAATAGGAAAATAACTATTCCTATGCTGTTTATAGGGGAATAGGAAAACCATGTGGATTTTAAAAGTATTTTTATGTCATACTTGTATTTAAAAATAACTAAATCTATAATCACGTAAGCATTTCTCTTCCACAATTGTTTTATTCTTTTCTTTCTTTTGGTTCTTGAGATTTAACCCAGAGGTATTTTGCCACGGGGCCACACACACCCCAAGCCTTTCTTCTTTTTTATTTTGAGACAGGACCTCATTAAATTGCTGAAGCTGGTCTTGAACTTGTGATCCTGTCTCAGCCTCACCAGTTTCTGGGATTATAGGTGTGTGCCGTGTGCTTGGCTTTTTTTTTTTTTTTAAACTTTTAAGGTGGGATCTCACTGTGTAATACCCCGGGGAATACACTGGGTAATACCCAGGCTGGCCTAAAACTCATGGCCTTAAGTGATCTTTCAGCCTTAAGTCTCCCAAGTACATGGCACCACATGTCTGGCTTAGAATTTAGAACTTTCCAGATTTATTTTTTCAAAAGGGGTCTTCTTATAAGCTTCCTGAATTGGTATTTTAGAATTAAATCTTTTCATTAAATTCAAATGACTATAATGCCACCAAAATAAATATTGGTATACATTAATCAAAGATTATGTATTTAGTATATTTGAAACAAATGCCGACATTGTTTTCATTTTCAGAGCTTTACAATTCTGTGTAGGTTAGTATTATTTCATTACATCAGTTTAGGATGTCTTAGCAGTATTTGTCTTCTTAAACCAAGATGCTTTTCCTCAGTGGGATCATCACTCCTACTCCTAATGTGTTTATCCAGATCTGTCATCTTCTCTGGGTACCAAATCAAAGACATTGACCTTGACCCCTTCCTTTTTGCTGACTGTTTTAATCTGCTCTGTCACCCCATTTTCCCCATCTTTGTAAACAGAATTAAAACACTGAAGCTGGGGAAGCCCTAAGACTCCCACCGTCCCTTGGATCACCAATCTAGGCACTCCCCAGAGCCTGTATGTTCCACCTGTTTTATAAACCTTCATCTCACCGCAGAGATTCACTTTTGCATCCATCGTTTTGAAATACTCATTTTTCAGTCCCTCCCTCCTCCTGTTGGGTTCACCTGCTGCCAGAGCGGACGTTCTTCTAAAGTGTATTGGTGATACTGGAACTCAGCTGCTTACCCAGTGGACCTGCACTACATGAAGGGGAAATTTCACCCTCCAGCAGAATACATGTTCTCATCTTCCGGCTGCTTCCTCTCTTCCCAGTGACTCTATCCCATGGGGCTTTGGGACTCGTTTGTTAGGATGTCACACCTCCTCCTTTGCTTGTACTGCCCTGGCTAGGACACCCTTCTCACCCTCCGTGGCCCTTTCTTTTAAGATCTGACCCTTCTGTTTGCAGCATTTCCTGAGCGTCCCAGGTGAATGGACTTCTTTCCTTGATGCCTTTTCCTGTGTTTATTTCAGTTGTAGAACTAGTGAATTGTACTTTTTTTGTTGTTGTTCTTACTCGTTTTCCTCTCTCTGTGTCTTGAGTACAGAACAGAGTGTCTCTTCTATTTTCAGTTTCTCCCATGATAATGCCTGTGATTTGATAGACATGATAAAAATTTGTTGTTGTACCGAGTGAGTGTTATGATTTGGATATGAGGTGTCCCCCCAAAAGTTCACGTGTGAGACAATGCAAGAGGTTCAGGGGAGAAGCAACTGGGTTTTGAGAGACCTAACCCAATCACCAAATTAATTCCCTGGCAGGGTTAACTTTTGAGTGGTAAATGACGTGGTAGGCTGTGGCTGGAGGAGGAGTGTGTATTTCTCTCTGGCAAGTGGAAACCTCTCTGCTCTTATCACCACCACTAGGGAAATGCTAAAGACTTTGACTGGAGACAATAAGGAAGATGGCTTGAGGACATCTCAGGAGCTGGCAAGACCACACCCATCTCTAGCTCAAGAGAGTAAAGGTGAAAATTCTCTTGAGAAGAGACCAGTGGGTCACCCTTCTTGCCCAAGGGAGCAGGAGTCTAGGGAACTTTTTTTTTCAACATGCTCAGCCACCTAGATACTCAGAGGCTGCTGCAGCCAGGTTCTCTGGAGGCTTGGCTACTGCTGGAGATGGCGGTAGACCTTGGAGTCAACCCTGTGGTGCTGGTTCTGCAGGGATGTATTATGCTGCACTTAGGGTTTCTGGGAGGCTTCCACCAAGATTTCAAAAGAAGGCCTGGGAGGCCAGGCAAAGTGCAGCACGGTCAGAGTCCCTGCAGGCACCCCCCGAGAAGGTAAAGTGTGGGGATGTGAGAAGGAAGCTGAAGCTTTCAGGGAAGACCCACAAGAGTAAGAAATGCCAGGAACATGGAACATCGTCCTAGGAAAGATGCAGGAATTTGAAGAGTCAAGCCAACAGGCCACAGGGGTGGATCTGCACAAGCCATCTAGACAGAACATTATCGTGCCATGTGCTCCAGATGCCGGGCACAGAACTAACTGCAGGACCTGTTTGCCCAGCTGGATTTTGGTCTTGCTTTGGGGTCCTATTTCTCCTTTCTATGAGGCTGGCTTTGAACTCAGCATCCTCCTGCCTCAGTCTCCTGAGCTGCTGGGATTATAGGCGAGTGCCACCACGACTGGCCTGATTTCATTTCTTACCAGCTTGATAGACCTAAGATGCTGGACATTTAAAATTTAAAACGAACCACCTAAATGAGTCCCGTTCAAAATAGGAAGATGTGAAATGGGAAAACTATAAAGTAAATCCAAGCAATTTAAACAGTTTGTGTACATGAACATTTCACATATCATTTGATACCTTTTTGTCGAGTAAGAATTCACTCTAACTCTTAAGGGACCCGGCTTTGTGCATTTACTTAGCTAACAAGGACTCTTTCTATATTGAGCACTGGTAAGTTGATAGCCTCATATTTCTGGACATTTTTGTGTCCATCTTTATTTTATGTCGTCTTTATTTTGCACTGTTGCCTCCTACAACAACAGTGATAGATAAGTCTATCTCTCTCCATTTCTTCACATCCACCCACCCTGCCTTCATCCTCCCTGCAGAATTTAGAGGGTTGTGTCTCCAATGCAAATATTTGACCACGAGCCACTTTTGCAAACATTGATTTCCAAGCACCTTCAAGTTGAGTAGGAGGCTTTTTATTTAAATAATAGTAACTCTGTTTTCTTCCAGGAAGGAAGGGGGCCATAGCTGGTATCCTGGTATTCCCAAGAAGTGGAAGGAAGCATCCTGCCCCTTTTATACATTTTATATTTTCTTTGTTCTCCATCCCTCTCCCCCACTTTATCTCTCCCCATCCTGGGAGTGGCCAAAAGGTGAGAAGCAGTTGGGCCTGTAGGCATTAATCAACACCTTTTCCAACTCCTTGCAGGGAGGGAAAAACTCACTCCTGGGACAGGTTACCTTAGCCACTGGTTGGAGCTGGAGCAGGGGGAAGGGCTTGGAAAGGGGGAAAAGCAGCATTTGGTTTTCTTTCCAACCAGCCCTCAACTTTCCAATTGATTTATTATTGATATTGACTGTCATTAATTCTTGCTTCGCTTTTGTAATCTGACTTCAGCCTAACTAATTCTCCATCTTCAGCGTTTCCCTCTGTATGCCTTTTTATTTTTTTAAAATTTTTTATTTTTTTAGTTACACATGACAGTAGAACGTACTTGGACGTACCATACCTACATGGTATATACCATCACATCCTTGTGGCTGTACATTATTTGGATGGAGTTTCACTGGTCGCGTATTCGTATATGAACATAGGAAAGTTGTGTTTGGTTGATTTACTCAGCTGTCATTCCCATTCCCACCCCCCTCAGTTGTTCCCATTTTCCCCTGTCCAGGCTGGTAAACTCTGCCCCCCTGGCCCTCACCTGTGGGGAATCAGCATCGGAGAGAAGATTTGGCCTTTGGTTTTGTGGGATTGGCTTATTTCACTTAGCGTGATAGCCTCCATTTCCATCCATTTACCATAATTTCATTTTTTATTCAATTTTTTTTAGTTATAGATGGACACAATATCTTTATTTTGTTTGTTTATCTTTATGTGGTGCTGAAGATCAAACACAGTGCCTCACATGTGAGAGGCAAGTGCTCTGCCACTGAGCCACAACCTCAGCCCCTTCTTTATTTCTTTATGGCCAACTAATATTCCATTGTGTAAATACACCACATTTTCTTTATCCATTCATCTATTTCAGGGCACCTAGGTTGGTGCCATAGCTTAGCTATTGTGAATTGTGTTGCTATGAACATTGATGTGGCTGTGTCACTGTAGTATGCTGATTTTAAGTCCTTTGGATATATACGAGGAGTGGGCTAATTGGTCAAAGAGTTGTGGTCCTTTTCCTCTGGTATTACCAAGCTGCTCTGCTGCCCTCGCCAACCCCAATACTGTTAGACAAGTGCCTAGCCCCATGTAATACTGCTTGTCCTCTCTGGCTACCACCTTTCCTGCTCTCTCGCTCTATCCTGCCCTCTCTTTGAATAACCTCATCTTGGGGTCTCAGCTCAGACACTGCATCTAGAAAAGCCAGTCATGACACTTCTTTTTTTTTAATCCTCTTTAAACCCAGGTCATTAACACTTAGCAGGAGCTCAATAAGTATGGAAAGAAAAAAAATAAATACTGTTTATACAAATTTGGCTTAAAAGATTGTCCCTTCTGACACAGAAGCAAAAAAGGAAGAGACATGTAAAGGAATATTTTACAATTAAAGTGGTTAAGATACAGTGAAAAAAAATCAATTAAGTCCTGAGACAGCCACAAGGAAAGGGACAACAGTTCATGTAGGGAAACAAAACCATCTTCAAGGAGGACTTCGCATAGCTGACTGAGGCTCACAGGACTTGTGTCAGAACAGTGGGTGAAAATGTAGCATACCTGATTGTTTAGAAGTTAATGTTTTGAACAACCAAAAAAAAAAAAAAAGAAGTTAGTGTTATGAGGTAGATGGTAGTGTACAATGTGGATTTATGTTTCTGTGGTATTTTAATCTTGTTCTGAGGGTTTTTTCCCCCTTTTGAGTGGATGAATATTCAAGATCTTTGTATGCCTTGTACCTTAGGATATGTGGTGTGCCACCCCCGCCCCGTGCCTTGTTGAAGTTTTGGATAATTAGAAATATTTCCTGAAGAAGTGAATATTCAGTTAAAAGATTGAGCTAAATTTAAATTCTTTATGGGGAAAGTAAAGGTGAATTATTATGCTTAATAAATCCCTTCTATATTTATAATGACTACTGCTTTTGTCTGTTATAAGTCGTTTCTTTTCATTGACGGTAAACAGAACCACACTCAGAAATGATATCAGAGGAAGGTCAGAAAGAGTTT